GTCAGGGAAATACATAACCCTTCCTTCCACTGACCCCCTGCTGGGGTTCTATCAAAGGATACCGGAAATAGTATGTAGTTATATAGATTAGTTTTCCAGGGGCAGAGAGAAGTATGGAGAAGTGTGGAGAGTAAATCTGAAGGAGTAAACAAAAAGATATGTAGATACATAGATTCATGGATCCTTTGAAATAACTATGTAAACCAGAGGTTTGGAATCAGTCTTATTTAATCCCTTTTGCTAGTGCCAGAACTGCTGGGTGCCAGAACTGTGTATGGTTTATTTATGTCATATGAATGCTACTTTTCCTTCTGAGATTTCTCTTTTAAAAATCAATCAGCTTTTATTCTCAATTTCAATAATATTTTTCAACCATGCTCCTTACTGTGCCTTTTAAATATAAGGCCAAGTGGTCTTTATTCTCAGATTCCTCTCTAAATAGCTTCATAGCTCTCTTTTTGCCATAAAAGAGGAAGATCCAAAATAATTTTAGACACTTCAAATTTTATTCTGTATAGAATTCTATTCTCTATATCTGCAGGGAAGTGTCAAAGAACAAAATTTTAACAAATTGTGTTTTAAAGATCTAATTGGCTTTTATTAGCAATTCATGAACCATCCAATCTACAAAATAGAAGGTCTGTTGGGTATGGTAGAACAACTGGCTTTTATAAGGCAGCTTTAGCAAGAACAAGGAAACAGAAAAGTGTAAAAAGTGGATTGGTTATTGTCAGGTTATTTTCCTTGTATGAGTTTAAGCAGAAGGGACTTCTCTGTTATGCTGACACAAGTTGACTGGGCCCCTTTTGATTGTTGCTGTGAATCTCCTGTTTTGTTCTCTGGAAAAGTGGCCAGTTTAGGGATTTGGTTATCATCTCTCTCCTGATTTTGTGGAAGGTCAGATCTTACAAGTAAATAACTTAGGTTTTGGATTGGTGATGTGGAGCTTTAGCATGAATGACTCCATTTGGGGCCTACTCTTTTTCTTTAACAGAAGAAACTTCTTCTGTTAATGTTAACTTCTTTCTTCTACTCACTCTGGTCTACTTTATAATGTTACGAGACAATTACATTACAAACACTGTACTTGTATTTGGACTTGGGCATTGTCTGAGTAATAATAAAGGTTTTATGGCCCCAATTAACTTCTGATTGGAAGTTAATTACAAGATATTTTAGTGAATCACAGCCATTGTACAGTTATAGCATCTTTGTACTTTTAAGTTTTGTTTTGTTTTGTTTTGTTTTTTAGCTAAATAGATTATATAGCCTACTTCAAATGATTTAAATTTTGGCAGATTGTTAAGTGGTTTACTCTCTAATTTCACTTTTCATCTTCTTGAGAAGTGCCATACATTTCCTCTTCTAATATATCCTCTGTAATATCTGATATGCTCATTTTTATTTTAGTTTTAAAATGTAATACCTATTTCACTAATTTTTAGAATTTATTTTCATAGACCACATTTCTGAAGCTAACATTTAGGACTTATCTCCACCTTTTCTCTAGTTTCATAGTCAGAGCACAGTAGCATTTGGACAATCTAGCTAACTTTACAGATGATTTTATTCTATTTTATTTTGTTATTCCTCTCAAGAGTCTGTTTGATTAACAGCTTCAGTAATGAAGTGTTTAAAATTTATTTTTAAATAGTACTTTTATTAAATTATTGAATTATAAAAATCACTAGTTTTTAAAATGCATCAGTAATCTGTAATCCAGATTCCTACTGATGGGAGGAGTTTCATATTACCTGAAAGATTTAACAAAGGAGTTTTTAATACGTAACTGACAATTACTTTCTTTCTTCAGTGAATATGAACATTAACATTTGTCTTCATTAATGGAAAAGCTCAATGGCTTTCTGATCATCATTTTGAACTTTATAACCATTCTATCCTGCTGAAGATGTGTAAGGTATAGGAGATTTGGATTCAATATTTATTCATTGATTCAGTTTGACAAGCTGAATCTTAAGTCTGTTTTGTGCTGCTAAAACAGAATATCAGAGATTGGGTATTTTATAAAGAAAAGAAATTTATTTCTCACAGTTCTGGAGGCTGGAAAGCTCAATATCCAGGTGCTAGCATCTGGCAAGGGCCTTCTTGCTGCATCTTCTCATGGCGGAAGGTGAGAGGGCAAGAGAGAGAAAGAGAGGTGAGAAGGGGACTGAACTCACCTTTTATCACAAACCCACTCCCTCACTAACTAACCCACTCCCACGATAATGATATTAATCCATTCACAAGGGAAAAGCCCTCATGACCTAATCACCTCTTAAGGGCCCAACATCTCAACACAGTTGCAGTGGGAATTAAATTTCTAACACATTAACTTTGAGGGACACATCCAAATTATAGCACCTCTATTTATTAATTTCTTTTCTAGGCCCTGGGGTTTCAAAAATGAATAAAAATAAAGCACAGTCACTGCCCACAAACATAAACAAATATAGTGTGTAATAAGAGAAGTGAATATAAACAAATGTAGTGTGGTAAATATTATAATCAGTGTATGCTTAAGGTTGGTGAGTGACATAAAGCATAAATAACATTGCTTGGGATGGTGCCAAGGGAAGGCTTGTTAGGGGAGGAGACTTAGTAGATGTTTAATAGGCAAATGAACATTAATAAGTAAAAGATGCTGTGCCCTGGATTCTAAAATTCTATTTTATGAAAACACAAATTAGTGAGAAACTTATACACTGGAAAATAGAACTAATATTATAAGATTGTACAGTATAGCTGATTGCCAAGTAGAAGATATAGTAATTAACGTTTATTGAAATATTCTGCTATACAGATTACGTGATTTATCACATGTAATCCTCACCATAACCTCTGAGATAGGTACTAATATTAAGCTCACTTTACAAATAAGGTCAAGGAGACTTCCAGAGGAAAAATAACTTCCTGAAAGTTACACAGCTAAAACGTTACAGAGGCAGGATGCAAACTTAGGCATACTGACTCTAGAAACAATTTTCTTAACCATACAAAAATGAACAATAATGACACAGGGAACCCAGAGGAGAAGTAAAAGCTTGCCTAAAAAGAGCATTTGTAGAAGAGTTACAAATTAGATAGATGATGCGTATTCTGAAAAAACACAGTTTCCTGTACTCACACAACACTTCTGACCCCACATATATGTTTTTTTTCCCCACACAATTCAATTCAGTTCTCTGGTGGACACCGACTGGGTGTCCTACTGTTGAATTCACTTATCTGCCTGGAGTTATCTTTAGATCCCACAAGTCAGAGGGCTCAGTCCTACAAGACTGTACCCACTTCAGATGCCAACTGCAAGTCCCAGGCCTTCCATACTTTTGACTGACTGGCTATAAATTGGGGGTTCCCATTGTAACAGTCTGAACAGAAGTGACTCCATTTTGTTTAACTTCTAAATTAAAAGTTTTTTTTTTCTTAATCTTGTAACCTGAACCACATAGCTTGCAACTGGACATTAGAATACAATGATTCTTATCACATGACTGCTAGAACATAATGACTTTTGCTCACACTGTACACAGAATAATTATAGAAGAAATTATTAACCCAGGTGGCCATTCTTTACTAGCTAACTAGATCTTTTTGAGGTTAACAGGAACTGAATCCATGACTTGACTTCATAGAGGATGGTCACCATGAATCAGCTCCCACCCAACAAGTTCTTTGATGTTTATCTGCAATTTTATGATTATGCCTGCATGTCCCTGCTTAGATCACCACGAATCAGCCCCCTACCACCTGTCCTTATAAAACCCTTTGGCATAGATATCATGAAGAATATTCCAGGCATGTTTATTGGCATAAATAAGCATTCATTAGTCAAAGTTTACATGAAGAACAGACAAATATGATTGAGTAGTCCATGTATGAGCATCAGGGAAGATCAGGGTGGAAACTGGGGATGGGAGGGGAGCCATCTTTCAAGGGTCTTTGAAATGCGTCTAAGTAATCTAGGCTTCATCTAATAAAGAGCCATTGAGATTATGTGAGCAGGGTAGTAATATATGATTCAGTATAACACAATGATAAGTTCTTGGACTCCATCATTTACCTACTTTGTGATGTTGAGTAAGTTACTACTTTTAGGCTCCTTTTCCTTATCAATAAGTTGAGGATGGTAATATCTACTTTATAGAAGTATTATATGTAAAGCCTGACATATAGTAAGTATTGAGTAAATGTTACATATTATTTTGATCAATCTGAGAACACTATATAGTAGCCTAAGGGCTAAGACTTAGGCCATTATTTGAAAAATTCTTGAAACATAATCATAACAGATAAATAGGAAGTGTCAGATTAGGAATATTTAAGATAAATAATATCAATATTTTAAATTTACACAGCTTTCAAAATATATTGTTTTTATGCTGATTGATAGTACTCATGTGTTCATTATTATATCAATAGTTAACAGCTGACAGCTGAATGTAACTATAATTTACAAAGCACTTTGACAATGTTGTTGAATTTGATTCTCAGAACCATTCTGTTACTAGTATTATTTCTATTTTATTAAGCCTCAGAAAGGTTAAATAACTCACTGAAAATCACATAAGTTAATAAAAGAAACAGTTTAAAACTTGAATATTCATAGCCTGTTCTAGTGGTTTCTCCATAGCAAGGAACAAATATGAAAAACTAATTAGTACTTTGAAAGTTAAGATCTTTTCTTAAATATCTGAATTAATGCCAATAACCAAGACATGGAAGAGAACAGACTAGTTCAGAGCCTACTAGTTATCTAATTCATATATAAACCACAGTGACATTTTAATATAATCTCTGTTTGGTAGATTAAAATATTCAGTGGCTATAATTTGCCATTTAAAATATCTTTAGCAGAAATGAGTGTAAGCTCTTATTTTTCTGCATCAAACTGTTGGCATTTAGTACATTCTGGGTGATTGAAAATATTTTACAATAGAGCTATCTTTACGTGTTTTAAAATAGTATTGATCATGAAACTTTTTGAAATTTACCATCAGGCCAATGGTGGCAGAGTCTGCATAGAGTTATGCTTCGTGGTGTTCTGGGAAAAACCTTTCGACTTGTTGGCTATACTGTTCAGTATGGCTGTATAGCTCATTGTGCTTTTGAGTACGTTGGTGGTGTTGTCATGGTAAGTTTTTACACTCAAGAATATTTTAAATATATACTTTTTTTAAAATTGAGGAAAAATGTTTTTTCCTTTATTATAAAGTTACTAATTTAATGAATAAAGTATTAAAGTTAAAACATAAAATCTTCCTAAAATTGGGATATAACAGTATGTTTGAATTAGCACTCCTATAAAAAAAAAAGAACCATTATTTTAAGTATGTTCTGTAATCTCTTTCTAGCAGGGGCACTAAAGGTCCTCTTTATAATAATAATAGTTGTTACTATTTACTGAATTCTGTTTACTTTGTTTCAAGGTATGTTTGATGTTCTACACTTATTAACTCATTTGACAATAGATTTCTAATACCTATTAGAAATTCATTATATGTATATGAGGAATTGTGCTCAGAATTGTTAAGTAACTTGTTCTGGGTCCCAGAGTTAATATATAACAGACTTGGAATTTCAACATGGATTTGTTCAATTTTCAAAACTCCTATTTGTAACTACTGTATTTAACTGTTATTAAAACAAATGATTATTCTGCCTAATGTCAATATTAAAATGTTAAAGCTGGGCCGGCCCAGTGGCACACTGCTATAGTGCGCTGCTTGGGAAGCGCGGTGGCGCTCCCGCCGAGGGTTCGGATCCCACATACAGACCGGCCGCTCACTGGCTGAGCGAGGGGCGGGAGCAACACCGAGGGTTGCGATCCCATGGCCGGTCCCGGTCCAGTACGGGCGCGACACTGAGGGTTGCAATCCGTTGCCGGTCACGAAAAAAAAAAAAAAAAAAAAAAAAAAAAAATGTTAAAGCTACCCCCATCCCCCAACCAATGATTTTTCTTAATATTGCATCATTAATCTGCCAACCATGACTGTTCAAACCTTTTGTCATGCAAATGAAAGAATACATGGATTGACTGGCCAGTGGTTTTTTTTTTGTTATTTATTTATTTATTTATTTATAATTATTAGGTTTACCCTAACAGGTTGACAGTCATAACAACCTCAAATTGAGCTGGAGTAACATAAATAAATATATTTAACTGAAACTCCTCTCCTTGATTTTTGAAAGTTACATTGGTACTTCCAGAGATAGCAAACATAACTTTCATTGTATTCTTTGTTATTTCTGCCTGAGTAGGAAGTTTTGAGTAAACAGTTTTGTTTACAAATAAGTAGAGTAAATGGAGACTTGTAGTTATGGCAATGATTATTCCAGTTTTGAGGTTTTAAAATATACAATATGAAGTTGTTTTTTTTTTTTAAAAGATGACCGGTAAGGGGATCTTAACCCTTGACTTGGTGTTGTCAGCACCACGCTCAGCCAGTGAGCCAACCGGCCATCCCTATATGGGACCAGAACCTGGGGCCTTGGTGTTATCAGCACTGCACTCTCCCGAGTGAGCCATGGGCCGGCCCCAATATGAAGTTTTAAAGTGCATCTTATTATGCCAGTATTTTTCAGTAGAGAATATAAGTCGCAGCCCCATCAAATAAGTAAGCTATTCTCTTGGAAGAGGAAGAAGGGTATCAGCTCCTGACAATAGTATAATACCACTTCATAAGTTACCATCATGGGCATTGGATGATATTTGACAGTAGCAAGAAAATGAATCATTCACTCATTCATTCATTCTACAAATATGTATTGAGTATCAACTTTATGGCAAGTACTGTTTTGGCCTTAGTTATACACCTGGGAACATAAGAGACAGGTCTTTGCCATCATAGAGCTTACATTCTGCAGGGTGGCCAAAATTTGGAAACATAGATAATGTTATTTTATTCACGTATTAATATAATATCAACAAACCATTTATTTATTTATTTATTTTTTCCCTTTTTGTCTTTTTCCGTGTCCAGCAACGGATCGCAACCCTCAGTGTCGCGCCCGTACCGGACTGGGACCGGCAACGGGATCGGCAATGGGATCGCAACCCTCGGTGTCGCGCCCGCACCTCGCTCAGCCAGTGAGCGGCCGGTCTGTATGTGGGATCCGAACCCTCGGCGGGAGCGCCACCGTGCTCCCAAGCGGCGCACTGTAGCAGTGCGCCACCGGGCCGGCCCCAACAAACCATTTATAATGTATTTGTCTGTGTTTCCAGACTTAGTGGCCATTCTAGAGTTTTATTTATCTGGGAACTACCAGCTTATGGATTATCCCCCAAGCTTGAAGGATATCTGCTTTTCTTTCTTTTAAGCCTGCTCAGATGATCTGTGTTAAATTTAAGGAAGTTTTGAACTCAAATTACAAAATTACTTCTCTTTTCAGTGTTCTGGACCATCTATGGAGCCTACAATTCAAAATTCAGATATTGTCTTTGCAGAAAATCTTAGTCGTCATTTTTATGGTATCCAAAGGTAAATTTTTGTCATGAATATATTGTTTACAGTGAAATCTACACAAACACAGTTTTTTTCTGCACTTCCTTAATGTTATCTTTAAAAACTCTTTTGTAAATAACCAAATTAATGACTAGCTAGATAAAATTTTGAGTCAAATATTTTCTCTCAGTTTGAGGAATTTTAATAGTTTCTTTAAAAGTGCAATCTCTTGGGTCATGCCTATTCCAGATGGTGGTTCCAATCCTTGTAATACTTCTTTTGCATCATTGTCCAAAATAGTTAGCAGTCTCTTTTATATTACATGTGTAAGATACTTTACTTTTTCATTGGGTCCTAGAATGTTTTGAGTCAAAAACTAGGTACTTAGGGACTGCAGTACATGTCCAAATCAGTGTTTTGTTTTTTAAAAATTTTTTTTAATAATCCTGTAATTCTATTGGTGGCTGTCTTACTTATTCTCTGTAGCCTAGATGACCATTTGAGGAGTTTTAGATTATACATTGTGTATAGCTAAGAACCAGGAATTTTATCTATAGTGGGCCCTCTGTATCCACAGGTTCTACATCTGCCATTGAACCAACAGTGGATTGAAAATATTGTATTCAAAGAAAAAAATAATAGAAATAAAAAACCAATACAGTGTAATAACAATTTACATAGCATTTACATTGTATTAGGTATTATAAATAATTTAGTGATGATTTAATGTAGTCATACTCCGCATAACGTTTTGGCTAATGACATATCATATATACGACAGTGGTCCCGTAAGATTATAATGGAACTGAAAAATTCCTATCACCTAGTGATGTCTTAGCCATTGTAATGTCATAGTGAAACACATTTCTCATGTAGGAGCTATAGGCTATACCATATAGCCTAGGTGTGTAGTTGGCTATATTGTCTGAGTTTGTGTAAGTAGACTGATGCTTGCACAATTACAAAATCGCCTAGCAATACATTTCTCAGAACGTATGCCCCTCGTTAAGCAACACATGACTGTATATGGGAGGATGTGTATAGGATATATGCCAATATTATACCATTTTATATAAGAGACTTGAGCATCTGCAAGTTTGGGTGTTGGCAGGGGTCCTTGAACCAATCCACTTCGGATACTGAGGGACGACTTTATTATGATTCTCCTGATTAATTATATTAAGTTGCATAACTCCTTCGCAAATATTGTTCGTCACTAAATCTTTTTAATTTCTATTCAGAATGGTGGTTGCAATCCTTGTCATACTGTTTATTCTAATTAGCTCCATGAGTATAATTCCTTCCAAATGAATGTCAAGTATTAGTAATTTAATATATTTTTAACAGACACCTCTCTGATTCCCTAAAATTTTGAGTCCATTTACTTTTATAATTCTGAAAAAAAAAATCTGTGCAGCTTTAATCTCAGTAAACTACAAATCTGACTCCCATGAGCTGGTGTTTAGCTTGTGGCATAACAAGTAGGTTTAGTCACTACTCTTTCACTATTTACTGATACTATAACCTGTTTCACATTATTGAAAAATTGTCTGGAATGGTCTTAAACTGTTCCTCACATTTATTGATGTTTCACCAGCCTTAGATTCTCCAGATAGAAACTGTCTTGGTCAAGCTGTATAGACTAGCATGGTCCCTACGTAATTCTTCTTCACATCTTTTACTTAATAACTTCAAGAAACCTCATTGTAGATATGGGGGTTATCAAATAAAACTTACGTAATAGGTTGTGTTCTAGTTCCTTTTTCTTTTAAACTTACATTGAAATAACCTAATACAGCCTTTGTATTAACTGGAAACCTAGCCTCGTTGTAGCATGAAGAGACAAGCTTCTGTCTTCCATGCTAACAAAATGATTTTAATCTCATAATCCTTGAGCATTTTTAATAAGGAGCTGAACTTGTTGGCTGAAGAGTTTTTGGATGAACAGCTCAATATATATATATATTTAAAATTCTCGTTGCATTCAGATAAGTAATACAAATAATACATTCAGTAAATTAATTAGGATTCTTTGAAGGTTTCATGTTGTACTCTATTCATCCAGAGGGCCCATTAAGTTGCAAGACAGCACAAAATCTGGCATTTATATGAGACATGCCAAAGTAACTTTTAGAGCCAAGGTAGTTAGTTGGTAACTTCTACTTTGAATATATTACTGTCCTGAGCATTCTCTTTCTCTTATCTGCAACACAGAACTCTAAGATTTCAGGGTAATCTCTGACCCCTGGTTAGAGGTCCTGTTGGCTGCCTGTTTCTGAAAGTGGAATAGCCTTCCATTTAGGCGAGAATAAAAGTCTGCATATCTGGTATCTAAACCACATGGATCTCTTTTCAGTCAACTGCACAGAACACTCATACTTGAGACAATCACAGTCTGTTACTACTACTTATTCTTTCAACAAATAGTTAACGAGCATCTAATTTATAAGATGTGTTGTACATTATAGAGAATGTTAAGATGAATAAGATATTGACACTTCTTTCCAAAAGCTTACCATCTGGTAGGATAAGGATATTTATAACTACAAGTGAGAAAGGAATGTTTGTCATAATTCTATTAAGTTCCTTTCAAAACTCTATTTGAAAGAATTGAGAGTCCAAGAGGTAAATATTTTGATCTAAGCTCTATGCATATATCAGAAATAGTGTGAATTAATATTGCTTTCTGTAAAAAACAGCTTGACTGAATTATAATTTGTTACCATTCAAGTGCAGATATTAAGGGTCATGTTGATTATTTGATCAAAAAATTAAGCTGCATAAAACACTCATGGAAAAAGTTTCTTCCTTTAAAACTACCCATATTCAACTTTGATGCTGTATTACAATCTTTGCAAACTTGTTCATCTGAAAAGTTCCGTTGACATGGTTTTAGTTGTTTGAAAAGAGAATAGTTTATCCCATTTCAAAAGAAAGCAACTCCAAATTATAGAATTTAATGATTTGATACTTTTCAACACTTATAGCCTTAAGAAATAACCACTGTGAATTCTGTGTCTGCATTTTCTGTAAAATTTCTGATGAAGATGCTGTCTTTTATTCCCTTACATTAGAATCCTTCTAATGAATTCCTTTTTAATTTAGTTGTTAGGGAAACTTTTGTCTTCCCAAACTTAACTTTATTGTATTAATTAATGATTGTCATGTAATTAATCTTAATTTCATTTGTCTTGGCTACCAAAAAGTTTAGAATTCATTTTAATATTTGTCTGTAGTAATAATTAGGTTTCTGATTTAACTGTCATCTTTCTTTTATATGGCTTTTGATATTATTTTGACATATTCATCTTCTGTTAAAAAAGTAACCTCAAATTATTTCTGGAACTAAGCACAACTAATAAGCAGATATGTTAAATCCTTTTAAACATGTGTGTTAGTCAAAAGAATTCACATAGTGCTCATTTTATGTAGAAAAAGCATTGTGTTCTATTTGGTTGGGAACATTCTACATTCTTGGTTGGGATCCTGCGTTTTTTGTCTCCTTCTTCCTTTACACTTTTTAAGATCTTTCTTATTCTTCTATTATCATGTAGATTGTCACTTCTTTCATAAATCATGACTTCTATATGTAATCAGACCCATATTGGTTTTATATGTTTAATATCTCATTTTATGTTTTAAATTTTTTTGGTGGCTGGTTGGTATGGGGATCCGAACCCTTGACCTTGGTGTTATCAGCACCACGCTGTCCCAAGTGAGCTAACAGTTATGTTATTTTTTTATAGTGTATGTTTGGGCACCTTTTATCATTTGATTTGGTTGTGTCTTTTGATTTTTTTCCCTTAAATATAAGTCTTTTTGGTTGTACTGTAAATTATATAAGTTATATAACTTATATGTTGTTATTCCTGAGTTCTTCAAGCTCTAAGGAAACAGATGACGTTTCTGCCTTTTTAATGTGCTCTAGAGTGAATCCGTGTTACTGACTGCAATAAAAATTTATTTAGTTAATTTGGTGGTATTTATGTGGAATTTTTTTTCATATTTTGGTTCTAAAAATTTGGACACAGAAGTAACACAAAAAGATAATTTCTGTGAAATTATAAGCAAGTTAAGAATCTTTTAAAATTATCTTCTACAATAATCAGACATTTTAGATAGCTTTTTCCATCACTCTCATTGTTGGATTTTGACCCATAAAAGCCAATCTTTAAGGTTCTCAAAGCTGGTAAATGTATGGGAGGGTCAGTATATAAGAGGATAAGGGGTATGACTTTTTTAAAGCTGCCTTATAAAACTATTAAAGCAGTACCATGCATTTGTTTATGTGTAATAAATAACACTGACATTTCTTTGACTTTTTCTCCCTCAGAGGTGACATTGTGATTGCAAAAAGCCCGAGTGATCCAAAATCAAATATTTGTAAAAGAGTAATTGGTTTGGAAGGAGACAAAATCCTCACCACAAGTCCATCAGATTTCTTTAAAAGCCATAGTTATGTAAGTAACATTTCAATTATGTTATTCATTGGTATCATAGTTGATTAACTAACTGAATATACTGACAAAAGAAAATAACTTTTATTCATATTTTGAATGTAAGAAAAAATGCTGCATTCAATAGAATTTCAGTATGTTTATATTTTAGTTCATTTAAAAACCCTATAAACATCTCTGTAATAATTATTATAGGGAAGATTCACCAATGGTAAAGATTCACAATGCTAAAGTTATTGGACAAAAATTTGAGGAGAAATAGGATATTTGCATAGTCTCAAAATATCTCTCCCAAGATATTTATTACAATGGGAAAAATAACTTTGTAGGGGAGAAATCTGTTAGACACCACCTTAACCAAGTGATCAAAGACAATCACCAATAACAAGACATATCAACATAATGTAGCCCCTGAATTGAAGCATCAAGAAGGGCACACCACTTTTATGCTGTCCTTGCAAAAAATATTGGACAACCTCGGTCTAATGAGAAAACACCATACAAACCTGAATTGAGGGTCATTCTGTAGCATAACTGACCAGTGCTCTTCAAAAGGTCAAGGTCAAGGTCATGAAAAACAAGGAAAGACAAAGGAACTGTTATAGATCAGAGACAAAGGAGACATGACAACTAAATGCAATGTGGGCTCGTGGCTTAAGACAGTTTTTCCATTGATTATTTAGTGGAAAATGTAGCAAAATCAAATGAAGTTTGTAGTTTAGTTTTTTCAAATCCTATGTAAATTTTTCGAATAGAAATTATATGTAGTCAATTTGCCTGTACAATTAGAAAAAGTACAAGAGCAGTAGAATGGAAGAGTAAAGAGCAAATGTAATGTGTTATTTAGCTCCTTTCGCCAATCGCATTGCTGCTGTGACAGAGCTTATGAGGAAGGGGGTGGTCTTTTGTTTATTCAGCACATACTCTTCTTACTTTAACAATTATAGCTTAATTTTTACTTTAAATTTTGTGTCACTATCAGATTATCAATTCAGCTATTATGCCTGTTAACTAACTTTACCTCTATATTCATCCCTAATGTAAAGTAACAATTGAGTTAAATTGTCTTCATTATTGTACATTTATTTTGAATTATAATAGTCTCTGATTGCCCTATAAGTAAGTTCAATCAATAGACTATTTAAATAATCTATTATTTTTTTACCATCCAGAATAGACTGTGGTTCAGCTCTGCAAGTGTTTTGATGTTTATTACTACAGTGCTAAACACAAAGTAATTGTTAGCTGATGGTGATAATAATGTTGAAGGTTTTAGTGTGGTGTCAAGTAACCGATTTTTCTACTACAGCCTTTTTATCATGGATGCCTGTTTCCTTTTATTCTTCAAAAATGTCCAATTTTGCCATATGGTTTCACCTTCTTTCATATGACTATTATTTCATTAGATATTCTAGCCACTTATGAGTTACTTTAGCAACAGTTATATACTTGAGAGCAGAAATAGCTTTGTCAACAGACAGAACCACAGAACAAATAATAGCATCCTATATCTATGTACAGGCATACCTCGGAGATGGGGTTGATTCCATACCACCATGATAAACGAATATTGCAATAACATGAGTAACATGAATTTTTTGGTTTCCCAGTGTATGTAAAAGTTACGTTTATACTATAGTCTGTTTAGTGTGCAATAGAATTATGTATAAAAAGGCAATGTACACACCTTAATTAAAAAATACCTTAGTGCTAAAAAATGCTAAAGATCAATCTGAGCCTTTGTCAAGTTGTAATCTTTTTGCTGGTGGAGGGTCTTGCCACCATGTTGATGGCTGCTCACTGACCAGGGTGTTGGTTGCTGGAGTGGCTGTGGCAATTTCTTAAAATAAGACAATGAACTTTTATGCATCTGTTGACTGTTCCTTTCATGAGAGATTTCTCTGCAGCATGTGATGCTGTTTGATAGCATTTTACCCAAGGCATAACTTCTTTCAAAATTAGAGTCAATCCTCTCCAACCCTCTGCTGCTTTATCAACTAAGTTTATGTAATATTCTAAACACTGTTGTCATTTCAACAGTATTCATAGCATCTCCACCAGGAATAGATTCCATCTCAAGAAACCACTTTCTTTGCTCAGCCATAAGAAGTAGCTCCTCATCCATTAAAATTTTATCCTAAGATTGCAGCAATGCAGTCACATCTTCAGGCTCTACTTCTAATTCTACTTCTATTGCTATTTCCTCCACATCTGCAGTTACTTCCTCCAGTGAAGTCTTGAACACCTTAAAGTCATCCATGAGGGGGCCAGCCCGGTGGTGCACTGCTACAGTGCGCCGCTTGGGAGCGCGGTGGCGCTCCCGCTGAGGGTTCGGATCCCACATACAGACCGGCCGCTCACTGGCTGAGCGAGGTGCGGGCGCGACACCGAGGGTTGCGATCCCGTTGCCGGTCCCGGTCCGGTACGGGGGCGACACTGAGGGTTGCGATCCGTTGCTGGTCACGAAAAAAGACAAAAAGGAAAAAAAAAAAATGTCATCCATGAGGGTTGGAATCAACTTCTTCCAAACTTTTGTTAATGTTGATATTTTGACCAATATTCTTAATGGCATCTAGAATGGTGAATCCTTTCCAGAAGTTTTTCAGTTTACTTTTCCTGGATCCATCAGAGGAATCACTATCTATGGTAGCTATAGCCTTATATATTTCTTAAATAACAGGCCTCAAAAGTTGAAATTACTAACAAGGTCAAGAGTTCAGATCCCCATACTGACCAGCTGCCAAAAAAAAAAAAGAAATTACTCCTTGATCCATGGGCTGCAGAATGAGTGTTGTCTTAGCAGGCATGAAACCATCATTAATCTCCTTCTACATCTCCATGAGAACTCCTGGGTGATTAGGTGCACTGTTAATAAGCATATGTTGAAAGGAATCATTTTTTCTGAGCAGTAGGTCTCAACAATGGGCTTAAAATATTCAGTAAACCATGCTATAAACAAATGTGCTGTCATCTAGGCTTTGTTTTTCCATTTATGGAGCACAGACAGCATAAATTTAGCATAATTCCTAAGGGCCCTAGGATTTTCAGAACTGTCTAAATGACCATTGGTTTCAACTTAAAGTCACCAGCTGCATAAGCCCCTAGCAAAAGAGTGAGTCTATCCTTTGAAGCTTTGAAGCCAAGCATTGACCTCTCTTCTCCGTAGCTATGAAAGTCCTAAATGGCATGTTCTTCCAATAGAAGGCTGTTTGTTTATATTGAAAATCTGTTGTTTAATGTACCCGTCTTCATTCCTATCTTAGTTAGATCTTCTAGATAAACTTGTTGCAGCTTCTACATTAGCACTTGCTGCCTTACCACAGGTTTTTATCTTATGGAGGTGGCTTCTTGTCTTAAATCTCATGAACCCAACCTCTGCTAGCTTCAGACTTTTCTTTTGCAGCTTCCTCACCTCTCTCAGCCTTCATAGAATTGAAGAGAGTTAGGGCCTTGCTCTGGATTCAGTTTTGGTTTAAGGGAATGTTTTAGATGGTTTGATCTTTTATACAGACCCTTAAAACTTTTTCCATATCTGTAAGAAGGGTGTTTTATTTTCTTACCATTTTTGTTTTCATTAGAGTAGCACTTTTATTTCCTTCAAGAATTTTGCCTTTGCATGCACAACTTGGCTAACTGGAACAAGAAGCCTAGCTTTTGACATATCTCAGCTTTCCACATGCCTTCCTCACTAAGCTTAATCATTTCTAGCTCTGAAAGTGAGAGATGTGCAACTCTTTCTTTCTTTTGAACACTTAGAAGCCAGTGTATGGTTATTAATTGGCCTAGTTTCAATATGTCTCAGGGAATAGGGAGGCTTGAGGAGAGGGAGAGAGATGGGGGAATGACCAATCAGTGGAACAGTCAGAACACACACATTTATCAATTAGATTTACCGTCTTATATGGGTGTAGTTTGTGGTGCTCGAAAACACTTAGAATACTAACATCAAACATCACTAATCAGAGATCATCATGACAGATACAACAATAATGAAAAAGTTTGAAATATTGAGAGAATTACCAAACTGTGACACAGAGACACTATCTGAGCACATGCTGTTGGAAAAATGGAACCAGTAGACTTGCTTGATGCAGGATTGCCACAAACCTTCAATTTGTAAAAAATGCAATATCTGCAAAATGCGATAAAGTGAAGTGCAATAAAACCAGGTATGCCTTTTAAACACATTATTGTTGCAATTTTCTTTTAAAGACTTATTAGAGGCGAAATATCAGGACAAAAGGTTTAGATAAAGTCTCTGCTAAATAATTACAGAAGATAACCAGAGGACTGTGAGATGCAAATTTTTTTGAGTATTCTAATAAAGGAAAATATTCATTGAGTTTTTATGTTTTTGATGAATGCACAAATTAAAGGACACTGCCATTTTGTCCCAAGTGTATTCCATTCACTTTGGTTTGGTATGTTTATAATACACACAATAGTAATAATATTGGCTAACACGTATTATGTATTTACTCTGTACTGTTGAAACTTTAAAACAGTTAGCTTATTTAATTATCACAACAGCAATCCAATGTAGTACGTAATGGTAGTATTTGACTGATGGGAAAACTTAACAACAGAGAGGCTGAATAAATTGCCCAATTTCAAATAGTGAGAGGAAGAGTTGGGATTCAAACACAAGTAGCCTGGCATGCCACTACTTCTCCCAGAATATCTTCTTCCTATCTGGTTATTATTTCTACTCCCAAGTCATCAAATATACCTTAAACTGTATTTGTCTTTATTATCTTAAAAAAAGAAAGGGAAGGGCTGGCAGGTTAGCTCAGTTGAGTAGAGCATGGCGCTAACACCACCAAGGTCCAGGGTTTGATCCCTGTACTGGCCAGCCATTCCCCCAAAATAAGAAAATAAATAAAATAAAAAAAGAGAATTATGAGGCTACTTCACAATGTTTGTGGAAAAATAGAATTAAAAGATAATATGAACCTTTCTGTGAACTTTTTGAAGACCCCTCATATTTCTGATCAGGGTTAGAA